CAGGCAAAACCAGCTAGAAACCAGCTAAAAAAGTGGAATTAATGAATGGCTAAACCACCATCTTGTCGAAGAAAAATATACAACAAACAAAAAACGGACACAAATAAATAACAACTCTACAACTAATTTACAAAGTTTAACATGGAAAATCAACTAACGAAAGAACGAATGTTGTTAAATGGTTACAAATGAAATCATGAAAACAACAAAAACAAAAAAGAAAACTTCACATAATAAATATTCGTACTAAATAATTTAGACACTGAAAAACTATTAATCGATTCCGGTTTAGTTGTGTTTTTTTCTTTTTTCTTCCAACTTCTTTTGTCTTTTTGCTGTTGATGTGTCAGACAGGAATCAGTATTTAACCATCGTGCCATTACATAATTTTCATTTAAACCAACTCTTAATACAATACAGTGTGGTTGTAAATGTTGGTATTTAGCCTAAAAAAAAAATGGAGAAAGAATCGAAAACCTTAAGCTGTAAGAGAAGACGGAAAAGGGGTGTGTTGTGTGTCAGTTAGTTGGAAAATTAAAATGATATTTGCATGTTATGCATGCATACACTTTGCACACTTGCTATTTATTTACATATTTATTTATTTATTTTTTTTACGAAAAAAAGGTACAAAAATAAGAAACTTAAAAATGATATCTTTAAATATGTTGAATTTCAAAAACGTGGCATGTAATGAAAGAAAATGGGGGTTTGTTGTTATCGTTACATGACGATCTTCGCTATTTATAGGGAAATTTTCTCTTAACAGAGAGTAGTTTATCATTAGCTAGAGATCTTCTCTATATAGATAGTATTCTATCACTCTGATGCTGGCTCAAGATCAGGCTATATACATATATATATCTCTACGTAAATATCTCTACGTAAAGGTGACTGTAATATTGCCATGTAAAGGTCTTCTCTATACTTATGGATGTCTATCAATATCTCAAAATCTTCCCTTAACAGAAAGTAGTCCTTCAACAGCTCAAGATATATCCCAGCAATAACCCGGTAAGTAGGCAAGTAATATTGGAGCAAAGTGTAATTACTTTCTTTTTGGGTGAATAACTACTTATTTTTGTTTGACGATGACCAAAAAATAACTGGTTACAAATGTGCTTACCCGACTTTTCCGGATTTAAACCCGGCTTTACAGTTATTTTCTGTGTTTATTAGTCTATTCTATTACCCAATGCTCCATTAACAAGTTTTTTTTTTATCGTGCTATTTGGAATAGTTTTTACACAAAGGTACAAATCAATATTTCTTCAAAAATCTTCTAATATCGACTAGGTTTAAAGCCATTAACTAATTCCTTATTGGACATACGCTCTATACATATGGCTACAAATCCTATCCAAAAAATTAAATAATTTTATTAATAAAGACCACTCATTACCAAGTAATGTGTGAAATAACTACATTACCTACAATACCCATTACCAAAATTTAAAAATATTTTACTGGGATGGATCGTATTCTAGCACTTGCTTAAGATCTTCTCTATACAGTGATCACTATATCGCTGGCTCATGTTATTCTCTATAAAGAGAGAACTCCTTCATTTCTATAAAAAAGGGAATTGTATAGTTGGCCCAAGATTTCTTTATTGAAAAACATACCATTCGCTCGATGATCTTCTCTATACGAAGAGTTTCCTATCGTTATCTCAACATTTTACGTTATCGAGAAAACCCTATTAATAACTCAAAATATTCTCTATACGATATTTAAAGATCAACTCATACTCAACTAGAAGAACTCGATTGACAGCTGAAGATCTTCTCTATAGAGCGATAACTTTGTATATTGCTAGCTGAACACAACTTCTACATAAGAAGATGATACTTCCTACAGGATATTTGGTAGTGTTCTTTACCATTTCCAACTGTTTCAGTCTTTTCTAATTGTATTTCAAAAATTTGGCATGAAAATTATATTAAAAATCTCGGTGGGATACTCTGCTAAAGCAGCAGACAGCAGGCCCGAGTTTAGATGTATTTCTTCGGATCTGATGTCACATACGTACTCCTTCCAAACTAACTAACAAAGATGGAGAAGTAGCTTTCTCAAGATCTTTACTGTATATACAGAATTTTATAGCTAGCTCAAGATTTTCTCTATTTAAACGAAAGCCCAATGTTTAGCTCACGATCTTCTCAATATGGGGTGAATATTCTATTGTTAGCTCAAGGTCTTTTCTTCACAGAGATAATATTTATCAGTGACTAAAAATCTTCTCCACACCGACAGAACAGAACTCTATACCCAATTCTAGATCTTCTTTAGGCACTAGGAACTGTATCGCAAATTCAAGATCATCTTTTAACAGAGAGAACTCTAAAGCTAGCTCATGATCTTCTCTTAATGGAGAGAACTTAATCGCTAGCTCAAAATCTTCTACAGAGAATAAATATATGTAGGCCCCCCTTAAAATTCCTATAAGACGTCTCTGTTTTATGTTTATTAAATGAGATGCAGAGGGATAAAAATAAACTGCCTGTATTTCAGAAATTTTACACGACAATCTATTAAAAATTTCCGAATTTCGGAAAAAATTGTATAGTGTGCTAGTCCGGCAGATACTCTGCTCCTTTAGCAGAGTATCTAGTCGTAAAGGAGCACCCAACACGCCTGATTGTAGATGTATTTCTTCGTATCCGATGTAACATACGTACTTCTTCCAAACTTACTAACAATGAAGGAGAAGTATATAACTGCCACACGATCTATTACTAGCTCTAGATCTTCTCCATACAGAAGAAAACTCAATTAACAGAGAGTACTCTAAAGATAGCTCATGATCTTCTCTCAACGGAGAGAACTTCATCACTAGCTCAAAATCTTCTCCAGAGAATAAATATAGCTCCCCTTTTAAATTCCTATAAGACGTCGCTGTTTTATGTTTATTAAATGAGATGTGTATGCGGAGGGATAAAAAGAAACCGCCTTTGTTTTTGTTACGAAGACAAACAGGACCTGATACACAACAGCAACAACAACAAGAGGGTGTTGTTGTATGTTAATGTTAATATTATGTGTGCTAAAAGAAATAACTACAACAACAACAACGAAAACAACAAGCAAATTCATATTGCTTTCAAATTGTATTAACATGAAAAACGACTTGTGAACGCTTGACTTCAAAAAGATTATTTAAACAAATGTGATTTACTGCAATCAATTTTAAAACTTTGCAAACATGCTCGTACAACAAACCAGCAACAACAACAAAAACAACAATAGTAAAATTCCCCCCCAAAAAATAACACAAAAAAATACTCTTGATATATACACAAAGTAAACACTGTTAATAGATTTGGGGGGTTGCAGGCAAAAAGAGGGACAATTTGCTGTATGAGAGATTATTTAGGAGAGGAGATATCAAATGAGTAGAGTGGAGGCATTTGTATAACGACACCTTTTTGGAATTAAACACTTTTGCAAATTGCTGCAGTCAGCAAATACATCAAGACACAAATAGCCGACAAAGCAGTACAACAAAAACAACAACAACACAACTAGACATCGTTACTAGTGACAATTGAACCAGCGCCAACATATTTCTCTACACACTCACCGCTACCCAAGGAATCGCATACAACTCAACGACAGGGATGGCATTAAGGCCCAACTATAATGTGCATAAGCTTGCTTAAGGTAATGTAACAATCGAACGAAAAGTCTCTCAAATGTTTAAGAAAATCCGAGGAAACTTTTAGGTGGCTATAATGTACTTACGTGTATTCAAAACAATTTAGCTCCATTTACACATTTATGTGACACACGTAATAAAAAAAATACATATTTCAAAATATTTTATTGAAATAAATTAATTTTCTTTTAGCTTTCCATTTTTTTCTTTATTTTCTTTGTGTATAATAAACAAACAATTGATTCCGTACGTAATGTGCTGTCAGTATCGCTCTTTGCTTAAGCAAATAAAATTTGACGAAACTTGACGAAACTCTCTTAAGTACATTATAGTTTGTCACATACATTTTATATGTGTTCGCACAGTTGCTTAAGCTGACTTCAGTTTGTTTAAGCATATTATAGTTAGGCCTTTAGTCTTTTAACATTAACAACGAATGAAAGAGATGAACAGAGAGATGGAAAAATCTTTGGGGGGCAAAGTGCTGAAGTCAAGCAAAAGTCAAAGAAGCATATAAGCGACGGCGGCACAATTACGACAATTAACGTAAGCAACCAAGTGGAACAGAATAGAATTTAATATATTACACATGTAAAGACAGGCCAACAACAACAAACCAAGACCCAGAATTTAACAATATGATGAGGGCAACAGGAAGAAGGGAAATAATGCAGCAAAACTGAAAAAAATGAGATGCCAAAAAAAAAAGAATATGAAAAAGTAACACACACAGAAAATAAACGTCAAATTGCTAAAATTGATGACGTTTTTGATGACAGCTTTAACCAACAACATAAAATACACACCAACAAACAAACTAACGAACGAACACTCATACCAAACACAACGGAAACACCAACAAAAAGGAAGTGGGCAAAAGGGAAAGAGTCGTCACACAGTGGTAAAAAACATACAAACAATTGTGCTGCACTTTGATTGGCTGTTGGCTATAGCTAACTCACTCTTATATATGGACAAAAACTCGTTATTGCTAACTGTCTCTCTCTTTCTTTCATTTTATTAGTAAGGCGTTGCCATATTAATTCCAATTAGACTAGTTTTCTTATTTACCTCTTCCGATAAAGTACAGTGACGTCACTACTTTACAGAGAGTAAAATATTTTTGTTCAGTTCGTTTGTATGAAAAGAGTCTCGAGATTATGGGGAGAGTACAACACACAATTAATTCGAGAGTAAAAACTCGTTTTGTGTTGTTGTTGCCGCAAATGCATGCAAACAGCAAATTGTTAAACGAACAGTGTTACCAGTTGTTTGGCATTTCTCGTTTACATTTACAGTTGCTCGCTCTCTCTCGCATGATACACGGGCGCCACGAGCCATTTTTTGCGTGTTTTTGTTTGTACGTTTTGTAGCTAAAAGTGCGGATACGTTTTGCCGACGCAATTTTAATGAAAAACAAAAAAGAAATGAAAAAGTTTTCTATCAGAATCCAGTGTAATAAATGCAGATTTTAAATAAAATGCTCTATAACAATAAATAATACTTAATATTTTGCTTAAAACTTAAAAAGAGTGATATGTGTTTATTTTAAAAATAAATTTAAAAGTAAAGAAATTAAAAAAAAAAATTAACTAAATCCATGACCATGTTACGTTCCAGTAGTCCTGCCATGTCTGAAATATCGGTGGGTTCTCCCAGTCCACCACCACATTCGGCCACAGCATCTACAAATGGTTTTCATGTTCTCAACATCAAAAGACTTAGACCCAGTGTGGAAATAATACCAACTCCAACATTACAATTTCCCCCACCTATGGCATTGCCTCAACGTAGAAAATCCAGTGCGGAGCGTGTTAAAAGTTTTTCTATAGCTGATATACTGGGGAAAAAGGAACAAGAAAAAAGTGCACCTTTGGAAGTAAAACCCATCAAAAGATCGGGAACACCACCATCAAAACCTTTAGCTCTTGCCAGCATTCCGGTAACACACCATATGCCTCCCCATATATTGGCAGAACGTTTACCACCGGCCCCTCTGGCCGCTCCTGCACCTTTGCTAATGTTAGACTTGCCAGGTATACACAAAGTTATACCTACAGCCTGGGAGCCAGCTACAGCCGGTAATCCCAATAATACTTCTCCTCCTACCTTACCCATACACCATTTCTTCCCACCTGCTTTACTGCACTATGAACAACGTTTGGCTTGGGACTATCAGCGCCAGTTGCAGGAACATTTCCAAGCACAGGCTCAGCTTTTACGACAAATGAGTATGGATCCTAATATTATACCTTCTGAAGATGGTTCCGAACGTTCTCGCTCTAGTTCTGCTGGTAGTCAGTGTTACTCGCCTGAGGTAAATGTAGCCGAAGATGATGATGATGATGACGAAGGTGAAGAGGTTGAGGACGGATCTGTGGGAAATTCTAGTAGAAATGAGGAACGTTTACCCGCTAATAGGGATGAAAGTGATACAAATGCAAAAAATTCAGATGATAAAGTAAAGAAAAGTGCAAATGATACTCCATTGGATGCTTTGTTTCAGCTATCAACCAAAAATTTTGATGAAGATCAAGGTAAGTTGGAATTTGGAAATTTTTTATTTTAAATTCTTTCGAGTTATTAGAAGTGATATCTGTAATATCGGTATGATGTGCATATTTAATAATTTCCATTTATAATGAATTGTTCAAAAGCTACTTTTCCCAAATATACTTAATTTCCTTATTGATTTGATGTTATCTATATTAATTTGTTTCTTGGCCCACTAGTGCATTCCTAATAAAAGGGGGCTTGAATCTTTTATGTATATGACGAAATTTTGCGGTTCCTCCCACCATAACTTCCCATTTATGGGGACTTATTTCATATGAAAAATTCTTAATTTTTAAATGAAATCAGTCCCCATTTAAATTATGGAACAAGTCGAGTGGGAGGGGTTCCAAATTTTATTAAATTTTAGTTTAATCGCTTAATAAAGATGTCCTAAATAGCTGGCCTACGGCCGGTCGTAAGGACATTTTTCTCTAAGATATGTCGCTTAATAAATAGTTCCCAAATAGCACGCCTACGGTCAGACGCAAGGATTTGCCACTCTACAATACTAGCCGCCCTATGGCAGAGCCAGCCTTCAACCGAACACTCTTGAATTTCGAGGAATTATCTCCCCATTTTAAAAGTAAATCCCGAAATTTTGTTGTTGTTGCTTTCTGGACAATTTTTTAGGGAGTTATGTAATTTTTGTTTTGAGGTGTTATTTCATGACACCAATTCGATGATAGAAACAATTAAGTTAGAATATTTACTAAAGCTAATTCTTCTTTAGGAGTCATCAACGAATGATAGAAGCTTCCTTCCGATTATTGCAAAAAATCGATCATGGAGTAGTTTTAAGTGTGAAAAATTTGAATTACCATGTGTACCCTCAATAGAATCAAGAAATTCGTACTTCGTATCAATCCCGACCGAATCAAGTATAACAAAGCCAAGTACCGATGTCTTAATTTAAGTCTGGGATCAAAAAGATCTCCAGATTACTACGTACTTGTTACAAGACTTTTTATTCTTGATGTTGAAGTAATCCTATTTCGTATGTGAATTGATCTAAGACTGAAATTGTTGTAATCCAAAAAAAAAAAGCTTATTCCAAGCATTATAAACTTGAACCAAGCACTTGATGTACTTGATTTAATCCTAAATTTGATTGAATTGAGTATGTACAAACTTAAATTGTCTCATTAGCCACTTAATTTAAGCCATATGAGAACTTTATACGACAAGCTTTCAGTAAATGTTTTCTAAATATTTAACATTTATTTTTAAGCTTTTAAATCTATTCTTAAATTAATTACAAAATTACATGTTTATTATTAATAAATTATGATTTCGATTTTTTAATATACGCGGTAAATTTGTTTAAATTAAGTAAATCTTTTAAAGATTTTTTTCAAATAAATAGAAAATTATAAACAATTATTAGCTTAGAATTTATTAATGTACAACAATTTCATTAATATACTTAATTAATTCAATAATACTATTTTATTACTACATATTAACAGTATATATTTTTTATTGTTGGCTTCTTGAAACGTGTGTTTAATTTTTGTTAAAGACAGAGATGGAAAGTTGGGGTTTTTTAAAAGTAATTCTGGTAGTTAACGATATATCTGAAGAGGCAAAACAATTGACACAATTCCACTGCTATAGCAAGTTCTTTGGGAATGGAGACCGATATTATTTCTTAACTGTATATGAGAGGGAACGTTAAAAGACTCTAGCTAATCTGTTTAACAATAACGGAAGTATATCCTAAGATTATACCCATCCCTGACTCATGCTACTCAAGAGCTAAGAAAAATGAATCGAGTGTAAAGAGGAGCAAACAGTTTGGGTTCATTCAAACGTTAAAGCTTTCAAGTCTAGTGTAAACTAATGTTCGTTAGCCATTCATATTTAAAAGTCTTATAAATTAATTAATGAAAATGTTTGAGTGTATGTTTTCTAACTAATGATTTACTTTATTTCACTTTACTTTCATTGAGAGATGATATCGTTCTGTTAGACGATACACAGTGGTATAGGAAAAAAAAAAGAGGGAAATAATTCGGTAACTTCTAAACGGTTAATCCGATTTTAATGAAATTTGGTATGCACAAAGAGGAGGTGTTGTCGAGTTTAGGTTTTGAATTTGGACCTTATAGGCCAACCAGGGGCCCGGCGGGGGGTCCTCAAATTAGGACACCTCGGCTATGTTAAATTTTTAAAACGATCCTATTTCTTCATTTGAGTTCCGATTTAAAAAAAATTTCGTATATAGAATCTCCTCATCGAGCACTATAAAAAATGTCGTCGTAGCAGTAAATTATCTCTTATAGTTTAGGAGATATTCGCATTTGAATATTAAAATTTTAAAATTTTTACCGTCCTTACTTTAGTTTTTTTGATAATAGCAGGTCCAAATATTTCCGATTTTCGCCATTTTTTTTTATTTGCTTAACAACAAGTTTATATACCAAGCAGTGAAAGAATTATGTAAAAATCATGACTGAGTCCAAAGTTATAGGCATTTAAATTTAAAAAATTAAAAAAAGGCGATTTTTTGTCATTTTTTTGGGAAAAAAGTATCTTTTTCTTTTTAAGTTATCTAAAAAGTTTCTAAGAAGATGTATATAGAATTTATACTTTTTGGAAAGCTGACTTTACATAAAATACGATAAATGAAACAAAACCTAAAAATTTTTGATACCGAGGGGACCAGGTCCATCCAAAAAAACCCTATTTTTTATGGAAAATTAAATTTTGAGCAAAAATTCTCAAATCGCATAGTCGATATCAAATTATAGTGACCTGTTTTATATGACCCAATAAGTTCTTAATCATTTTGTAACGGGTTTCGATAACCCCGCCCCTGGTATGGATATAATAGGCAAAAAACCAAAAAATCCCATTTTTGGGATTTTTTAAAACTTTTTTGGGAATTCCGGGATTTCTAATAAGAAAATTCGAAATTTTTATTTAATTTTGGATTTTGAGTAAAAAAATCTACCTAACTGTAAAATTTCATCAAAAAATATTCATAAATAAAATTTTTATTGCAATTTGAAAAATTTGTATCTTCGCAAAAACTGAATAAAAAACATTTTTTAATTTTTTTTAAAAAAAGTATTCCGCGAATTTTTTAATTTTCAAAAATTATATACAGTTTTGAAAAATAGACAAAATTACCTTTCCATTGATATATAACATGCCTACCTAATGTTTTTTAAGTGACAAATTAATTAGGGAAAACTCAACATCTTTTAGAAAATTTGCCTAGCACTATTATTTTCATCCATAAGGTTAACTCTTAAATTTGTTACATATATGGATGAAAATAATAGTGCTAGGTAAATTTTCTAAAAGATGTTGAGTTTTCCCTAATTAATTTGTCACACAAATTAATTAGGGAAAACTCAACATCTTTTAGAAAATTTGCCTAGCACTATTATTTTCATCCATAAGGTTAACTCTTAAATTTGTTACATATATGGATGAAAATAATAGTGCTAGGTAAATTTTCTAAAAGATGTTGAGTTTTCCCTAATTAATTTGTCACTTAAAAAACATTAGGTAGGCATGTTATATATCAATGGAAAGGTAATTTTGTCTATTTTTCAAAACTGTATATAATTTTTGAAAATTAAAAAATTCGCGGAATACTTTTTTTAAAAAAAATTAAAAAATGTTTTTTATTCAGTTTTTGCGAAGATACAAATTTTTCAAATTGCAATAAAAATTTTATTTATGAATATTTTTTGATGAAATTTTACAGTTAGGTAGATTTTTTTACTCAAAATCCAAAATTAAATAAAAATTTCGAATTTTCTTATTAGAAATCCCGGAATTCCCAAAAAAGTTTTAAAAAATCCCAAAAATGGGATTTTTTGGTTTTTTGCCTATTATATCCATACCAGGGGCGGGGTTATCGAAACCCGTTACAAAATGATTAAGAACTTATTGGGTCATATAAAACAGGTCACTATAATTTGATATCGACTATGCGATTTGAGAATTTTTGCTCAAAATTGATTTTCCATAAAAAATAGGGTTTTTTTGGATGGACCTGGTCCCCTCGGTATCAAAAATTTTTAGGTTTTGTTTCATTTATCGTATTTTATGTAAAGTCAGCTTTCCAAAAAGTATAAATTCTATATACATCTTCTTAGAAACTTTTTAGATAACTTAAAAAGAAAAAGATACTTTTTTCCCAAAAAAATGACAAAAAATCGCCTTTTTTTAATTTTTTAAATTTAAATGCCTATAACTTTGGACTCAGTCATGATTTTTACATAATTCTTTCACTGCTTGGTATATAAACTTGTTGTTAAGCAAATAAAAAAAAATGGCGAAAATCGGAAATATTTGGACCTGCTATTATCAAAAAAACTAAAGTAAGGACGGTAAAAATTTTAAAATTTTAATATTCAAATGCGAATATCTCCTAAACTATAAGAGATAATTTACTGCTACGACGACATTTTTTATAGTGCTCGATGAGGAGATTCTATATACGAAATTTTTTTTAAATCGGAACTCAAATGAAGAAATAGGATCGTTTTAAAAATTTAACATAGCCGAGGTGTCCTAATTTGAGGACCCCCCGCCGGGCCCCTGGTTGGCCTATAAGGTCCAAATTCAAAACCTAAACTCGACAACACCTCCTCTTTGTGCATACCAAATTTCATTAAAATCGGATTAACCGTTTAGAAGTTACCGAATTATTTCCCTCTTTTTTTTTTCCTATACCACTGTGCGATATGCCGGTGAATTTACTTTGATCAATTGTTAATTAACCACAAAACAAGTTGCAAATTAGACTTACACTCTTTCTTATACTTAATATATCTACACAGTATTGCTATTGTTGCTGTTGTTAGTAAATGTTATTGGCAATATTGTTGTTAATAGTATTATTTGTTGTTTAGTTAGTGTTATTGTTATAGCTGTTGGTTTTTTCTTTTCTTCATATATAATGGCCAAAGTATGAAAAATGAAAATGATAAACATTGCCCAGCAACAACAACAACAACAGCAG